TCTGCAACAGTCAAGCTCACAATCAGATAAGTTGTCTTCTTGGCCCGTAAACGTCTCTTGAGGAACACCCTCAGTGCCAAACAGTTCAAAACCAAAATGAGAAYACTAATTATTTCAAGTCCAATGAAAATGCCAAAAGCTGCATTGTCTATTCTGACATATGATGTAGAATTCATTGCAGTTCTGATAAATAGCAATGGTGTTGTCTTTCCGGGTAGCCAAGCAACTCTTCGTACTGAATGCAAATKTCGTCTTCTGATAGAGATCTTATATTGATCAGTTTTAATTGACAGGTGACAGATGACATTTCTATTAAATGTTTTTTTCAGTAAACACCCGAAAATAAGAACGTAATGGATTAAGAACCTCTTGGCAGAAATTTGCCATTTTAATAAACACTTTTAAAATAAGAACCTCTTTAGCCAAACATTATCAAGCATGTTCTTATGATATGGATTAGAACTAAATTACAGGATTAACAAACCTTAAGTTGCTCAATTTGAAGATTGCGTACAAATACTGTACTAAATTTATTTTGATTATTTACTTGTTACAGTAGCTGAAAGTTACAGTTATACATAATGTTATAGTATTACATATAATTTTAGCCCGTTTATAGCTTATTTATTATACTTATGATATATATGCAAAACAATAACAACTGTATCCCCCTATTAGCAATTAAGAACCTAATTAAGAACCCGTTATGCCAAAATTACCAACAACTACCCCTTAAAACAAGAACCATTTTTGCCAGACTTTCAAATAACATGATTCTTATTTTCAGGTGTTTACTGCATCATATTTTCTGTCATGCATCTAACATGGAGTTGGATTCCAATTTTTATGATAATATCTAGCTCCTGAGCCGACCTATTGGTATGACATGAGTGTGCATAATATATTAAGATCGATGGCTCCTGAGTAGCTGAGTGAATTGTGCAGAATAACAATCTTTATTTATAGTTAAAATTAGATATCAATAATATATTTTGTGAAGTCATCATTCTTCACAGTTCCCTGCGCCATCTTGAAAGGTAGCCGTGCCTTTACATCGAAGAGAGACAACCGTTGAGCATGCAATGATAGAAACCTTTCACACCCAAAGACAATTATTCACAGGTATCTATCATTGAACGCTCAACGGTTGTCTTGCTTCGATGTAAAGGCACGGCTACCTTTCAAGATGGTGCAGCTGGGTACCATGAAGGAGACTGTTATCTGGATCAAAGATCCAAATTGACTAAATATAGTTGGGGGGGGGGGGGGGGGGRGGGGTCGGAGAACAAATTTATATTGAATCAGGACGAGTGTCGACTATTAACGAACATCATTTCATTTCACTAACAAATCAACTCTTTTTGCTATATTTTTTACTATTTCTTAGCAATAGAAATTGATGTAAAAATGTTATGGTGATTAAAAAAAACAACAACAAAAAACAAACAAACAAACAAAAAAACACACAAACTGAAAACGTTGTTTGAATTTCGACTTAAGAAAGTGCATTCCCAATTAACTATTAAACAGTTGGTTGTAAAAAAAATTATAAGAAATAAAAAAGAGATTTACAAGTTCTATAAAGTTAGATTGAAAAGTAGTATAGATGACTAGAATAATTGTCCCTGGGAAAAACGCAAATAATTACAAAATAATAAAACAAAATAATTAACTTCTCAATGAAATAAAAACGTTCATTATCAAAGCTACGTAGTACTGAATCGTGTTATATCTTTYCAATTTAATCGTTAAAAATCGTTCATAATACTTTAGAGTCCATAAAAAGAATGGTAATCTGAGTTTATAATCATWAAACGTCTCTTCGTTTACTAAGTTAAGGTATAATGGATGTGTTCTACCGCTAAGTAAACACGGACTTATCATAGTTTCCTGTTATGGTTTTCACCTGTGCGCCGCATTAGCCTGCGTTGCTAACAGTCTGCGGTGTCACAAACTAATTGTAATCAATTAAGCCAGGAACGTGCGTCGCCGGCAGCCCAGGCTTTCCTCACCACATATACAGGGCCGGGTTGTTCAAAGCCCGATTAGCGCTACTCTTAGAAAACTTATGGAGTTAACCGTGGATTTACATTAATCGGGCTTTGAACAACCCGGCCCAGAACTCTTCTTCAATGAAATCTATATATGTTATTTACCGGCTGGGAGGTCCGTATAGGAAAACACTGCCCGAGGTCTTGACAGTACGGAACGAGCGCAGCGAGGTCCGTTCATAAAAGACCGAGGGCAGTGTTTTCCTATACGGACCRACGTATAGCCGGTAAATAACATTTTTGTTTTTTTTATTTGTATTTTATGCAACTTTGCTCGCAGCCTAGCTGTAGGATACCGTCGGACCGGGCAGATCGTGAAAAACCGGACCATGCGCTAGCCAATCACAGCGCGCGAATGACTAGGATACCGGACCGAAAAAAATAAAGTCATTTRCTAAGATATCATTCAGAAATGATATGAATCAAATGTTAGGCCTTYTAAGTGATCCTCGTTATTTTCATGAAAGTCAGTCTCCCATCGAAGGCAGMAGCATCTCAATAAATCGAGTTTGTAAGAAGTTGTCAGTTGTGTGGATTTTTTATTATTATTTAATTGAGGTATGTACATTGGCTTGTAGTTCTACAGGTTGGATTTCAACTCGATAAGTTCTTTTACAGCACAATAGCTTTTTCAAATCTTGAGCGAATCCTGGAAACCGCCAAGTGTAGATAACCACATTGATAATAGAATTCGCAAAGAAAATGAACAACGTTGAGTAAGTTAAGTTTATGGAAATGGTGTTTCGTCTGTTCGCTTCAACACTRAAACTTTCCACAATACTTGCTGGTATRATMGTCARCAARGATGCWRCTGTMACRTAGAAGAGGGTTCTGCTCAGTTTAAYCTGTGCTTGAGTTTGAAAGATGTTTTGAAAAATSGGAAAAAACCTGAGTTTAAGATAGATAGTTATATAGGAGACAATTATGACCAAGAGTTCCATAAGAACTGTGGTCACAATGATTCCCATAACTACTCCTTCTGGTAGTTTCTCCCTTTGTTGGCAACGTAAAATGGCTAGTGAGCAAATCTGAACGATGTTAAGCRWCCATGTYATGAATATAGCCACTTGRTAGTGACTTGTAGTGAGAGCACGATGTCGAAACGGCCTTAAAACCGCGAATGCTCTCTCTAAAGCTATCAAAGCTAAAGAAGCCAAGGATCCCTCGACTACAAAAGCCCAGACCATCATCCCTATAGCAGGATACCCGCAGAAATTGGCATCTGAATCGGGGTCGCTTGTGGAGGGTACGATGGTATCATACAAAAAGCTCCATATGACTTTAACACCGACTAACAAGTCTACTATGGATTGATTAATAAGAAGAAAACATGATTTGGATCGAYGAACTCTTTTGGAAAAGATGATTGCTCCAAGGATGTTCATAAAAACGATTCCAGARCCTTCAATCACAAAAACAACACCCCAATAAGTCTTGAGAACCATCGTGTAGTTTAAAATGCCTCCTCCTCTTAGAGCCAAAACCTCCACCTTCTAGAGCCAAAACTTCTTCTTCTAGACCCAAAATTAAGAGTATTCGAAATTTCAGGTGGAAAGATGTTCTTAAAGTCCTTATGCGAATACAGAGAAAATTGCATGGAAAACTTCCATGACGTAGGTCGAGCTTTTGAAGWGTATTTGAACTATATTGGATATTCGAGGTAAAGAGTGCTCTTAGTTTCCTTGTGACCACACGAAAACTGTATTAGTAATTTGCCTTACAGCGGAAAGAGGTCCTTGTGCTAAGAGACGAGTATTTCCACTTTAGAAAGTTAGATCTTAAGTGTTTAGCAATGCCAATGGACAAATTCAGCTTAGTCTTCAGGCTTCAGTCGGCTTTCTATTCCACTAAAAATGAATTCATTCTCTGATCACCTGTCTACTTCATTTACAATACATCAATAAAATCAAACACAGTTTCTAGAATACGATGAAAGACTGATTATTCCATGGCGCAGTATACACCCACAGTCTCTTCGCATAGAACTACACAATAGTGGCACGTTGTTAGTGAAGGATAAAAGAAGTTASATCCTTCKAGAAAGGATTCATTAAGCCTTTCGATCACAACTTTGTTTAAGCAGAAATCATCACATTGTTACGTTTTTATGCCCTTTGGCTTCATGCTTCATTAACTTTAGATGTAAGATATCGTTTCTGAAAGCAGCTGCATTCTTTTGATTATTATTTTTTCAATGTTCTACTATCTTGTTTAAACCAATATTTGCTCGGCTTTGGACACAAAGCTTTATTGCAGTTCAATAGAAAAGCAAACCAAAATTTCTAGTGGAGTCCCCGTTTTGCTGTCACCGCGATGWTGGATGATGATAGATGTTGTTGGATTTTGCGTCAAACTTTGGACGAAGTKGTTTAATTATCTAAAAATATTGGTCCGCCCAACAAAATTTTCCTAAATATGCCGGAATTACCAAAACATGCAAAGTTTGTTGTTCAAGGATCAAACATTTTTTTGTTTCGCTCTAGAATCGGGTTAGATTTGTATGTCCTTTGATCTTGAATCCGCCAAAGATTGGTCATTTTTGGTGGTAAATAAACATTATGCGTTATATTGTTTTATATCTCTTTAATCAATGTTATGTTGCAGTGTATAAACTGATACGTGATATCGATCTCGGCGGCCAGCAATATTTTCTTAATTGTGTTTATATATATATATGATAACTCACCTTCAAACTTGTAAAAACAAATAAATAACAACGACAGCAAARTTGTCGGCTTTTTTGAAGAGCAGACTTCACAGTATACTAATGCTGTTTTCTCTTTTTTTCTCTCGTTAGCTTGATAGTGAAATTACCTCTGGTACCAAAAGGCGGAAAATTCTGGCTATTTATATGACAATAGCTATATTTATATATATGAAAGATATGGGAAATCAATATTTTTGATTGATAGAGAAACCATTTGTGAGAAAGTATATATTTAGGATCAGTTGATCAGCAACATTAAAAAAATCATTCCCTGCCGTCTCGATCCCTTAAACCTCACTACCAATTCGCTTTCTACATGCAGCGGAACAGCGCCGTTTATAGCTCAACATGGAAACTTTCGTACATAAACAAAGTTAATAAAAGGATCGAGAAACGATAGCTCTACCCATTACATCAGGTTTTTGTCGATTGGATCAACATCTGGTCTCAGGTCAGTGTAATAAATGTGAACAATTACACGGGGTCTGATTGTCGCCACAGAAACGGCGGATGAAGACAAAAGTATTCCACGTAGCTTTTTAGCTGTGTGGGGATGTGGTGAGTAGAGAATTATTCTCGACAGAATAATATTAATAACTCTTTTTTTTTCAACTTCCGTTAACCATAAAATCAACTGTCATCACAATCATAAGACCTTTTCATTTCAGGTTCACTTAAATTTAATTGGTGCTGCTGTCTGCAAGTTCAGTTATTAAAGTATAATGTAAAGTTTTAATATCTATGTTTTTTTATGAAGACAGGATGTTATAAATAATGAAAGCAAGGTCTCATATAATGCTAAGAGGTATAATATGGTCCCAATAAAGGAATTTGTATGAATATTCCTGAATACGCACTCAAACTTCACTAATAATCAATAGGTATTTATTGGGGAGCAAGGATGGAT